AGGTAGAGCCTCCTGGAGGCGACAGGAGGGTGGCTGAACCTGTTTGGGACTGCCCTGAATGAAGCTTTTTAAAAAAAAATCGTGGTGCATTTGGTGCCCAAGTACACTGCTTTGTAGACATGGGTCAGAGCTGGACTTCATGCTGCACTGGTATTTCTGTGAGCCAATAGGGCTTATGCTGTATCCCTGTAGTTGGTGATGTTTGATATTTGCGGTTCTAATTATTTGCGTGACCCCCATGAATCTACAGTTTGTAATCTGTAATTTTCTGAGGGGTATCCATCGTAAAAGCTGAGGTCTCAAAACCTTTAGTATACAAGTCATGCACCACATAATGACAATGGAGGACTACATGATACAGTGGTCCCATGCACAAATATTTATCATTGTGTTAGTTGCCTATTCATACTGTAACATGCTGTACAAGTTTGTAGCCAAAGAGCAACAGGCTGTACCATGTATAGCCTAGGTGCATAGTTCGCCCTATCATGTAGGTTTGTGTTCGCACAAGGACCAAATTGCCAAACGACACATTTCTCAGAATGTATCCCTATTGTTAAGTGACACCTGACTGGTGCTTTATTTCATTTGGTGGGGAAAACTATGCACATTATGTACATTGCCAGACATAGCTCCTAAGTGTCTACTTCTACAGGCTTCCCTGGTAGATCAGAGTCTAGCTAGGAAGACAGTGCTTCCTGAGACCCTGAGGGTTGTCTCAGTCTGCCAGCTTGCAAACATTAAAGCTACGGCACTAGGTGGGAAGGGAGTGATGATCCGGCCTGGGTGAGTCATAGAGGAATCTCCAAATTGATGCTTTTACTAAGTGACAGTCTCCATGAATTGGGAAGGAAAGAAGAAATGCTTACCATTTTTGAGGACCTTATGAATGTGTCAGGCATTGTGCTAAATATTTGAGAAATGCCCCGCCCACGGCCCAGTGAGTTTAGAGCTAAGTGGAGACAAGTCCAGAGGATGAGACTGGGACCAGACCATGGGGGACCTGACCCCCTTTGTGGACTCACTGCCCACCACTTGCTGAAGGTAAATGACATGATTTGCACTGGTGGAGCTTTCAGAGAATCCACGTCACAGCAGTATAGAGGTCGCAGAAAGGGCACAAGACATGGAGCGGCTCATGCTACCATCTGCCCTCTCTTGAACTGGCCTCACTCAACAGCCCATCTCTTGTCTCTGCCCCTTGTCTGGCTGTCTCACAGCTGCCTAGGTCTTTCTTGTCTGTCAACTCCTCTGCCTGCTCTTTCACTGTTGCAGTTTTCTTGGGCTCTATAATTCGTCTCTGCTACTAGCCCCAACACATGTTCTCTGCGTGGTCACATCTGTTTTAGTGGCTTTAACTGTTGTCTGAATCAGAGGTTCTTAACCTAGGCTCCATGATTCATGGATGGGCTTCTGGGGGGTCCCTTTGTTCTCTGAAATTGTATGCAGCATTGGGAGTCTTATGTAATTTTCCTGGGAGCAAGGTCTGTAGCTTTCAACAGATTTTCAAAGGGGCTCTTACCTTAACAGTGTTACAACTATGCATCCTGAATTTCCAGATTTTCATTTCCAGCTATACTAGATACAGCTCCTCACGTTTCTTTAACCTGGGTTGCCTGTGTGAAGTCTGTATTTTTCAAATTGTTACTGATGGAGAATTTGAAAAACACAAAATAAAGATCAAGCGTAATAGGCTTTTCATAGACCACCGATCTTAAAATCTTTTTTTTTTTTGGTCTGCTTGCTGGGGGAAAAAGTCTTAAAAAGATTTTAAATAGTCACTTATTCTTACCAGAGAGACAGCTTTACAGAAACAGCTAGTGTCCCTCCTCTCTCCCATCCGAGTTTGGTGGGTGCCCTGACAGATGTTTTCCTTGCATTTGCATACTGAGATTGTTCCTTGCTCTGTTTTTACGGAAATGCTATCATACTGTTCTGCAGCTTGCTTTATTTGCCCAACAATATGGCTTGAAATTCTTTCCATGCCAGAACAAGGAACAGATCCACATACATTTGTTTTTTTGTTTTACCTGCATTTTTTCTCTCTTTTTTTTTTTTAAATTGCCATGAGGGCTCACTCTATTGCCTAGTTTGATCTAATAGTGGTGAGGGTCTCACTATATTGTCTAGGTTGATCTTAAACTTCTGGGCTCAAGCCATCCTCCTGTCTCGGCCTCCCAAATAGCTGGAACTACAAGCACATCACACAGTTCCCAGTCTACCTGCATTTTGACAGATATATAATATTCCATGGCATGGTTATATTATTCAGTTAAGGATGTTCCCGATTTTCTCTAAGATAATGCTGCCCATCTGTGTCTCTGGATATATAGAGTATATGCAAAGACTTGGACTGCATGAGCAGAGGGCTTTCCTATTGTTTTTTGTCTTTCCTGCCTGTTTTAACTTGATGCTGCCAAATGATCCTCTTAAATGGTTTACCACCTTCCCCACCACCACCAGATTTTGAGGGTTCTCTATACCTCCCAACACATGGTAATATCATACATGAAAAGTTTTGCCTGTCTGATGGAATAATTGAGTCAAGAAATAGGATGCTACTGGCATCTTTGTTTACCCCCCCACCTTTTTTTTTTTTTGAGATGGAGTCTCACTCTGTCTCCCAGGCTGGAGTGCAGTGGCGCGATCTCAGCTCAGTGCAACCTCCACCTCCCAGGTTCAAGCTGTTCTGCCTCTGCCTCCCAAAGTGCTAAGATTACAGGCATGAGCCACTGTGCCCAGCCTTATCTGGTCTTTAGAGATAGAAACTTCATCCCTGACCCCTATATTCCCTTAAAAATACTCAGTTTGGGCCGGGCGTGGTGGCTCAAGCCTGTAATCCCAGCACTTTGGGAGGCCAAGGCGGGTGGATCACGAGGTCAAGAGATCGAGACCATCCTGGTCAACATGGTGAAACCCGTCTCTACTAAAAATACAAAAAATTAGCTGGGCACGGTGGCGTGTGCCTGTAATCTCAGCTACTCAGGAGGCTGAGGCCGGAGAATTGCTTGAACCCAGGAGGCGGAGGTTGCGGTGAGCCGAGATCACGCCATTGCACTCAGGCCTGGGTAACAAGAGCGAAACTCCATCTCAAAAAAAAAAAAGAAAAAGAAAAGAAATACTCTGTTTCTTTGATTCAGTTGGTAATAGCAAGTGAATAATAGTTGATCTCCATAAGTAAACTCCTACTCCTCAGCTCTTTATTTCAGAAAATACGGTCCCTGTCTGGCCAGGAGAAATGGAGTGAGACCTTCCCTAGAAGGGAGGAGCTTGGGCAGAGAATGGGTGGGAGGATCTGTGGGTTCTGAGTGGGGCTATGGAGAATGCTTGCCTGTATAGAGGTGGGACTCATGGTAGTGGATGAGGTAACTGAGTGATTGAAACCCAGGAATGTGTGGCTAATTGGAGTAGAGGAGAAGCGGTCACTAGACAGCAAACCCAAGGCCAGTGGTTCCTCCCTGGACTGATTCCTTGCCTGTGGAGGGAGGGCGCATGCACCTTGGCCTTTTTCTGCCCCTCCTCTTCCCCCTCCTCTTCCCTCTCCTCCTCCCTCTCCACCATCCTCTCCTACCTCTTCCCCTCCCCCATCCCTTTTCTCCTCCCTTTTCTCTTCCTTCTTTGCTGTCTTCCTTCTCCATTTCTCCTCTTCACTCCTCTTCTTTCCTCTCCACCCCTCCTCCTTCCTCCCCTTCGAGCTCCTCAGGACCTTCCCCCATCCCACTGTTCCTTTACACATTCAGCTGCAGACCTCATCCACCCTCCTGGCTATGCCTCTCAGGAACATCTCAGCCCCTGGGAATTGTCAAGGAATCATCTATCTTGGTAGCTGAAAGCACCCTCATTAACATCCATTGGCCGTCAAAAGTACCTTTACTTTTTACCTTTGGTCTTCACTATCCAGGAAGATTTTCTGTCACCACTGTTATTTTGTGGGAAGGGAAGAAGCGCTCAGCATTCCCACTGGCGACCCATCCTGGTCTGAATGGGCTAGGCCACAGCCCCAGATCTCACAGGCCCTCTACACTGGGTGAAAGATGGGTCCTCTGGCCACGCTGTGGGAAGGAAAGGAAGGGGGCCCCGTAAACCATACTTTGAGAAGGAAGCATTAAGAACTCAAATGTATCTTTGCTCTTGGGAGAAGTCTAGGGAACTCTTAATCTTGCTCAGTAGCTGCTGTGACTTCTGCAGAAGGGACTTAGATTTGTCAGCAGGACTGAGACTTTGTATCGGCTCTCTTCCCACGAACGTGGGATTGCCGAACAAGCCAGCAACCCCCCAGAGTGTTCCCCACACTGGACATATGGGAGAACTATAGCAGGGGTTGAAAAGGTCAGAGTGTCCCTGGTTCTTCAGGGCAGCTCTCCAAACACTCACCTGCCCATGGGTGGCAGAGTGCACCAGGACTTCATTGGATGCAACAGCCATGTGGTTGACCTCTCCATGGGGATGGACCCAAGAGCCCACCCACCCCAGCTCAGGGAAGGGCTCTCACCTAGAAACACGAATAGCAGGGACTTTTCAGTCCTAGAAAATGTTCTTTTAAATTTAGATTCTGCCCACTTCCAACAAGTGTGCCGTCAGACCCTATTCTAAATGCCGCTGCATATGTTAAGTTATTCAATCTTCACAGCAACCTATTCAATAAGTACTTTTATCCCTATTTTACAGAAGTGGGCTCCTAGGCTTGGCTAGGCAGTTTAAGATAAAATGCAAAATGGCCCAATTCAGGATTATTACAGTTGGTTTAAATTTCATGGCTGAGGCACAAACAAAAGTGTTGGATTCTGTAGTTTTTGTTGTGATTACAGAGCACGTGTAGCATCTTCCAGAACCTTCTGATAAAGCTAAAGTAAGGATAGGCTCACATGGCTCACACAGTAAGAAGCTGTATTGACAGAGCGGACAATACTTTCAATTATGGCTTAACAAAAAAACGCCTGAACATGGAATAACTTAGAAGAGCTATTTATTTATTTATTTTTTTATTTTTATTTTTATTTTTTTGAGACGGAGTTTCGCTTTTGTTACCCAGGCTGGAGTGCAATGGTGTGATCTCGGCTCACTGCAACCTCTGCCTCCTGGGTTCAAGCAATTCTCTTGCCTCAGCCTCCCGAGTAGCTGGGACTACAGGGACGCGCCACCATGCCCAGCTAATTTTTGTATTTTTTGTTTGCTTGTTTGTTTTTTTGAGACGGAGTTTCACTCTTGTTACCCAGGCTGGAGTGCAATGGCGTGATCTCGGCTCACCATTACCTCCGCCTCCTGGGTTCAGACAATTCTCCTGCCTGAGCCTCCTGAGTAGCTGGGATTACAGGCACGCGCCGCCGTGCCCAGCTAATTTTTTGTATTTTTAGTAGAGACGGGGTTTCACCATGTTGACCAGGATGGTCTCGATCTCTTGACCTCGTGATCCACCCGCCTTGGCCTCCCAAAGTGTTGGGATTATAAGTGTGAGCCACCGCGCCCGGCCAGAAGAGCTCTTTTTTTTAAAGGATCCAATGCCAATGCAGTGGCTCATGCCTATAATCCCAGCAGTTTGGGAGGCTGAGGCAGAGGATGGCTTGAACCCAGGAGTTTGAGGCAGCAGTGAGCCATGATGACACCACTGCATTCAAGCCTGGGCAACACAGTAAGACCCTATCTCCCTGTCTTTAAAAAAAAAGAGACCTACCTGTATGCTAGGAGCATCCTTCTCACTTTAGGTCAGACATGGTGGTTCTGTTTTAAATTTGTTGAATTGTCACTTACTTTTTCTTTCTCTTTTTTTTTTTTTTGAGGCAGGTTCTCACTCTGTGGCCTAGGCTGGAGTGCAGTGGCATGATTCCAGCTCACTGCAACCTCTGCCTCCTAGGTTCAAGTGGTTCTCCTCCCTCAGCCTCCTGAGTAGCTGGGATTACTGGCATGCGCCACCACCCCTGGCTAATTTTGTATTTTTAGTAGAGACAGGGTTTCACCATGTTGCCCAGGTTGGTCTTGAACCCCTGACCTCAAGTGATCTGCCTGCCTCAGCCTCCCAAAGTACTGGGATTATAGGCTTAAGCCACTGCACCAAGCCAACTTTTTCTTTTTTCCTTTTTGAGACAGCGTTTTGCTCAGGCCCCCAGGCTGGAGTGCAATGGCACCAGCATGGCTCACTGCAGCCTCAACCTCCTGGGCTCAAGTAGTCCTCCTGCCTCACCCTCCTGAGTAGCTGAGACTACAGGTACATGCCACCACACATGGCTATTGTGAATTTTAAGAAATTTTTTTTGTAGAGAGAGGGTCTTACTGTGTTGCCCGGGCTGTTCTTGAACTCCTGGGCTCAAGCAGTCCTCCCATCTCAGCCTCCCTAAGTGCTGAGATTTTAGGTGTGGGCCACCACACTTAGCCCATTGTGACTTTTTATAAATTGTTAGCTGCTTTATTTTAAGTAATATACGTTCATGCTGCAAATTTTTAAAGTCTCTAATACTTTCTTTTAGGACACTAAAAATCTTATTCTTAGATCCGGTTGGGAGTCATTTGGGTGGAACAAGTGGTAGGGACCTACCTTAATTTTTTTCCAGGTTTTTGTGATTGAATAAGTTCTAGACACTCAATGCCACCTAGATCATTGATGAAATTTTTGACTGCATTTGGGCCTGTTTCTGGGATCTCCTTTTACTAATTTCTCTGTGTATTCATGAACAACCTTAAATTATTGTAGACTATTTAATTATTAAATTATTATGTTCTGTTATGTGGGAAGTTTTGTCCTTCACTGTTCTTTTTCAAAAATTTTCTGATTGTTATTTTATAAATATTTTTTCACAGAATCAACTGGTTTTGAACCTAAATTTACTTACGGGTTAATTTGGAGAGAATTGGCTTTTAAAATTATATTAAAGGCCAAGCATTGTAGTTTACGCTTATAATCCTGGCATTTTGGGGGACTGAGGCAGATGGATCACATGAGCCCAGGATTTGAGATGGGCCTGGACAACATAGTGAGATCTCGTCTCTTAAAAAAAAAATTAAGCCTTTCTATCTAAGACAGAATACACCTTTTCATTATTGTGTGTGTGTGTGTGTGTGTGTGTATATATTTTGGAGACAGAGTCTCACTCTCACTCTGTTGCTCAGGCTGAAGTGCAGTGGCACGATCTCAGCTCACTGGAACCTCCACCGCCCAGGTTCAAGTGGTTCTCCTGCCTCAGCCTCCTGAGTAGCTGGGATTACAGACGCTTGCCACCACGCCCCATGCCCGGCTAATTTTTGTATTTTTAGTAGAGATAGGGTTTCACTATGTTGGCCAGGCTCATCTCGAACTCCTGACTTCAGGTGATCTGCCTGCTTCAGCCTCCCAGGGGCGAGGATTACAGGCATGAGCCATCATGCCTGGCCTATCTTTTTTTTCTTTTTAAACTCTTTCCTCTGAAAATCCAGAAACAGATTTCTTTTAAATTAAACAACATTTTATTTTAATTTTTATTTTTTTGAGACGGAGTCTTCTTACTCTGTCACCCAGGCTACAGTATGCTGCAGCCTCAAACTCCTGGGTTCAAGCGATTCTCCTCAGCCTCCTAAATAACTGGGACTTAAGGCACATGCTGCCAGACCCAGTTAATTTTTAAATTTTCTGTAGAGTCAGGGTTTCACTGTGTTGCCTGGGCTGGTCTTGAACTCCTGGCTTTGGAACTCCTGACCTCAAGTGATAACTCTCATCTTGGCCTCCCAAAGTCCTGGGTTTATAGGCATGAGCCACTGTGCCTAGCCCTTTTCAGTTCTTCAAGTCTTATTTGGATTCAGTATCAAAATTCTTCTCATATAGGTGTTGTACGTTTATAACATGTATTGTTTTTCTTGTTGCTACTGTAAATGGGAGCTCTCCTTCCACGTTTCTAACCTATTTGTGTGATAGGAAGGCAATTATTTATTTTAACTTTATATGCCCTGGCTTACTGCATTCTTTCATTGTTTAGATAGTTTTCAGGTTGATCTCTTGTTTTTTTTCCAGGTCTGCCTGCACCATTGTTTCTTTGCATTATGGAGAAAATGCAAGTTGATTCTTTGTTGCGAGTGCACTGTGATGTCAGGTGGAGGTAGTAGAGAGTGTGTCTTTAGGGAAGCTGCCGATGGTGGTGTCACCTGTACATGGTCAAAGATTACCTTTTCTAGGTCTCCAAAACCCTTCCAGCTCAGTGCCTGCTTAGCATATCCAAGGGTAGGGGTTTCGGGCCAGCCTGTCAGTGCCATTTTGCTCACGATCCCCTCTAGTCTTGCTTTACCCACAGACCTCCCTATCTGAGAAAGGAGCAACTGATTAAACCTGGAAAATTTGAGCTTATTTTGGCTTGCGTCTGTAGACATATTGTCCAGTCTGTTGCAGTCCTTCACAGATGCTTTTTGAGAGTCCAGCCACATGCCATTGCTGCTGGTGCTACTGCCCAGGTCTGAGTGTTCGTTGTTTTCCTGAATATAAGGCTGGATGATTGAGCATAGGTTAACTCTTGTCTATTCTCAGCCTGGCAGCCTAGACAGGTCTGTCACACTGCACCCATGAAAGGTAGCACCTTACATGCTACCGCATCCTCTAGAATAACCTTTTCTTTAAAAATCTTTTTTATTTTTATTTTTTTTTCCTCCTCTTCTTCCGCCCCAAAGCCATAGTCTTTTGTGACCCATAAAGTTGGGTCTTCTCTAGCTTCTCCTGCTGCCGCTTCCTACTCATTGTTCACTCTCTTGCTGAAGCCACTCAGGCCTCCCGGTTGGTCCCTGGGTATGTTAGGGCCTTTGCCCTGGCTATTCCTGCAGTACTCGTCCCCTGCTAGTCATACAGCTCCTGCCTTCACCTCCTCCCAAACCAGTACTAACGCAGCCCTTTCTCCAGCCAAGCTGCTCTGCCCTTCCCACCCCCATTCTCAGCACACCTGACCTTGGCCTATGCCTTGTTTTCTCTGTAGCACTTAACATCTTCTAGCCTAGCCTTTTTAAAAAAGATTATCTATTTGTTTCTTTCGAGACAGTCTCACTCTGTTGCCTAGGTTGGAGTGCAGTAACAGGATCATGGCTCACTGCAGCCTTAACCTTCTGGGCTCAAGTGATTCTCCTGTCTTAGCCTTGCCAGTAGCTGAGACTACAAGTCCTATATTTCTTAAAAATAGGGGATATTGTCAATTACCAATATCCCCTTGCCTTGTTGAATTGTAATCCAAGAGTAGAACCTTTGTGTCCTTCATTAATGTATCCTAAATTCCTAGAAAGGTTCCTAGCAATGAATATGTGGATAAATCCACAATAAGTAATAAATAATAATATATCCACAGTAAATATGTTAATAAATCCAAGAGAACTTTGCTTAAGATGTATGTAAATCTCTTTGGATCCTTGTAGCACATCTGAGGTATGCACGTCAGGGATGGTCAGCCTCATTTTATAGATTAGCATGTGTGTGTTTGTAGTGTTGTTTGTTTGTTTAGTGTTTGTGCAGTGATTGTTCCCCTATCTCTCCAACCTAATGGTAGTATAAGCTCCTGGAGGATTAGGGCTGTGTTTTGAAGCCCTACTTTCCATCGTCTGGGGAAACTTACACAGTACTAACCTTTCTGTCTTCTAGCTTTTTGACACTGTAATATATAATAAATTGTAGTTAACCATATTCACCCTGTAGTATTGCAGAGCACCAGAGCTCATTCCTCCTACCTAGCTGTAATTTTGTATCTTAACCAACCTCTCCCTGTCCTCTCTTCTCCCATGCATTCCAGTCTCTCATAACCACAATTGTACTCTATACTTCCATTCACTCAGTGTTTTTCTTAGCTCCCACATATGAATGAGAACATGTAATATTTGTCTTTTTGTTCCTGACTTACTTCATTTAAGATAAGGTTCTCCAGGTTCATCCGTGTTGCCACACAGGTAATGATTTCATTTTTTTTACGGCTGAATAGTATTCCTGTGCACGTATACCATATGTTCTTTATCAGTTTGTGTGTTGATAAACAGTTTCGTTGATTCCCTATCTGGCTATTTTGAACAGTGCTGTATTAAACATGGGTGCAGGTATTCCTTCGGCACACAGATTTGCTTTTCTTTGGACAAATAGTAGTGGGATTGCTGAATCCAACGCTAGTTTTATTTTTAGTTTTTAAGAAACCTCCATTAAGGTTTTCCATAAAGGTTGTGCTAACTTGCACTCCCACAGTGTATAAGAGTTTCTTTTACTCCACATCCTCACCAGCATTGGGTGGTTTTTTTTTGTTTTGTTTTCTTTTTGAGACAGAGTCTTGCCCTGTCATCCAGGCTGGAGCACAGTGGCCTGATTTCAGCTCACTCCAACCTCTGCCTCCTGAGTTCAATTGATTCTCATGCTGCATCCTGAGAAGCTGGAACTACAGGCGTGCGCCACCACGCCTGGCTAATTTTTACGTTTTTAGTAGAGACAGGGTTTTGCCTGTTGGCCAGGCTGGTCTTGAACTCCTGGACTCAGACAATCCCCCCGCCTTGACCTCCCAAAGTACTGAGATTAGAGGCGTGACCCACTGCACCTGGCCCGGTTTTTTTGATAATAGCTACTCTAACTGGGATATCATATCATTTTGTTTATGATTCTGATTTGCATTTCCTTGATGATTGGGGTGCTGAGCATTTTTTCATTCATTTCTTGGCTATATGTATTTCTTTGAGAAATGCCTGTTTGATCCTTTGCCCACTTTTTATATTTTTATTGTTTTTGTTTTGTTTTGTTCTAAAGATGGGATTTCTCCATGATGGCCAGGCTGGTCTTGAACTCCTGACCTCAGGTGGCCTCCACCTCGGCCTCCCAAAGTGCTTGGATTACAGGCGTGAGCTGCCGTGCCCGGCGTCCACTTTTTAATCAGACTTTTTTTTTTTTTTTTGCTGTTGAGTTATTTGAGTTCCTTGTATACTCTAGATATCAATCATTATTGGATGAAGAATGTGCAAATATTTTCTCTCATTCTACAGGTTGTCTCTTCACTCTGTTAGCTGTTTGCTTTGCTGTGCAGACACATTTTAGTTTGACATAGTCCCTTTTTTCCTATGTTTTTTTTGTTGTTGTTGATGTTTAAATTTGAGACCAAGTCTTGCTCTGTCACCCAGGCTGGCGTACAGCGGTGTGATCACAGCTTACTCAGCCTCTACCTCCCGGCCTCAAGCAATTTTCCCACCTCAGCTTCTTGAGTAGCTGGGACCACAGTGTGAGCCACCATGGCTGGCTGATTTTTTCCATTTTTTGTGGAGATGAAGTCTCCTTCTTTTGCCTAGGCTTGTTCTCAAACTCCTAGGCTCAAGCACTCCTCCTGTCTCAGCCTTCCAAAGTACAATTACAGGCATGAACCACCAAGCCCAGCCCTGGAGTTCTCATTACTGATTTCTAGTTCTATTCCCTTATGATGTGAGAAGACACTTGATAAGTTTTTTTTTAATTTGTTGGCCAGGCACAGTGGCTCACACCTGTAGTCACAGCATTTTGGGAGACTGAGACAGGTAGATTGCTTGAGTCCAGGAGTTTGAGACCAGCCTGGGCAACATAGCAAAATCCCATCTCTACAAAATATAAAAATAAAAAATTAGCTGGGCACAGTGGCATGCACTTGTAGTCCCAGCTACTCGGAAGGCTGAGGTGGGAAGATTGCTTGAACCCACACGTGGAGGCAGTGAGCTCAGATTGTACTACTGCACTTCAGAGTGAGAGTGTCTCAAAACATTAATTAAATTAAAATTTAAACAATTTGTTGATTTGTTTTGTGACCACTACATTGGTGTTCTGTGTGCTGATGAGAAGAGTTTATGTTTTGCAGCTTTTGGTTGAAATGTTCTGTAAATGTCAGGATCTGTTTGGTCTATAATGCACTTAAGTCTGATGTTGCTTTGTTGATTTTCTGTCTAGACGATTTGCAGTGCTGAAAATGGGTATTGAATTCTTCAACTATTATTGCATTGGTATTTCTCTCTTTAGCTCTAATACTTGCTTTATATATCTGGGTGCTAGAATATTGGCTATATATGTATTTATAATTGTTATATCCTCTTGCTGAATCAATCCCTGTATCATCATATAATGACCTTCTTTGTCTTTATGTTTTTTTCATGTAAAGTCTATTTCGTCTAATATAAGTCTAGCTACTCCTGCATACTTTTGGTTTCCATTTGCATTTTTTTTTGTCCCTTTACTTTCTTTTCTTTTTGTATGAGATAGAGTCTCCCTGTGTTGCCCAGGCTGGAGTGCAGTGGCGTGATCTCAGCTTACTGCAACCTCTGCCTCCCAGATTCAACTGATTCTCCTGCCTCAGCCTCCCAAGTAGCTGAGATTACAGGCATGTGCCACCACACCCGGCTAGGTTTTGTATTTTCAGTAGAGATGAGGTTTCACCACATTGGCCAGAATGGTCTTGAACTCCTCACCTCAAGTGATCTGCCTGCCTCGACCTCCCAAAGTGCTGCGATTATGGGCATGAGCCACAGCACATGGCTTTTTTGTCCTTTTACTTTCAGTCTGTATGTGTCTTTATAGGTGAAGTGACTTTCTTGTAGACAACAGAGTTGGGTCTCATTTTAATCCATGTAGTTGGAGCACAATGGTGCAGTCAGAGCTTACTGCACCCTGGATGTCCCAGGCTCAAGCAGTCCTCCCACCTCAGCCTCCTGGGATGCTGGGACTACAGGTGCATGTCACCATGCCCAGCTAACTTTTTAAAATTTTATTTTACTTTAGAAAAAAAATATATATTTTTTCTTTTGAGACGGAATCATGCTGTATCCCCTAGGCTCGAGTGCAGCAGTACAGTCATGGCTCACTGTAGACTGGACCTTCCAGGGCTCAGGTGATCCTCTTACCTCGGCCTCCTGAGTAGCTGGGACTACAGGTACCTGCCTGCCACCACACCTGGCTTTTTTTTTTTTTTTAATTTAGAGATGGGGTTTCACCATGTGGGTCAGGCTGGTCTCGAACTCCTGACCTCATGATCCGCCTGCCTCAGCCTCCCAAAGTGCTGGGATTATAGGCTTAAGCCACCGCGTCCGGCCACACCTGGCTTTTTAAAAAAAAAATTATGTTTGGAAAGATGACATGTTGCTGTGTTGCCCAGGCCACTCTCAATGTGAAGGGATCCTCCACATTGGCCTCCCAAAGTGCTGGGATCACAGGTGTGAGCCATCATACCTCGCTTTACTTTGTAGAGATGGGGTCTCGTTTACTTGCCCAGGCTGGAATGCCTGGTTTTACTTTCAGGTTTTTTCATGGTGGCAGCTATCATTTGTTTGCTTTTTAGCCTTCCCTGAAACACTTCCTGTAGGCCGAGTCTAGTGGTGATGCGTCCCCTCAGTTTTTACTTGTCTGGGAAAGACTTTAGTTCTCCTTTTTTTCTTCGGGGAGTTTTAGTTTTTCCTAAACATGTAGTCACTCTATTTTTGGCTTAGATGTTATCGTGTGTTGAAGTGTGTCCCCGCAGAAGGAATGTTGACATCCTAACTCCCAGTGCCCATAGTGGTGAGGTGGGTTCACATTTGATAAGACTGATATTCTTACAAGAAGTAGAGAAGAGACCCAGAGAGACAGATACACAGAGGGGATAAAGCCATGTGAAGACAGAGGTGGAAGTTGGTGTAGCTGTCAAGCCACACATAGACTGTATTAGTTTCCTGTGGTCTGTGTCAAAGGTACCACAAACCAGTGAGTTAAAAAAAAAATGGCTGGGCGCAATAGCTCCCACCTGTATTCTCAGCACTTTGGGAAGATGAGGCAGGAAGATTGCCAGGAGTTTGAGACCAGCTTGGGCTACATAACAAAACCTCATCTCTATAAAAAATACAAAAAGAGCCAAATATGAGTGAAAAAAAAAGTACAAAAAGTAGCCTGGGTATGGTGGCTCATACCTGTAATCCCAGCCCTTGGGAGGCCGAGGCAGGCCTGCTCACGAGGTCAGGAGTTCAAGACCAGCCTGGCCAACATAGTGAAACCCTGTCTTTACTAAAAATACAAAAATTAGCCGGGCCTGGTGGCACACACCTGTAATCCCAGCTACTTGGGAGGCTGAGGCAGGAGAATCACTTGAACCCAGGAGGTGGAAGTTGCAGTGAGCCGAGATTACACCACTGCACTCCAGCCTGGGAGACAGAGCAAGACTCTGTCTCAGGGGAAAAAAAGTACAAAAAGTGGCCAGGTGTGGTAGTGCGTGCTGTAATCCCAGCTACTTGGATGGCTGAGCCAGGAAAATCACAAGTATGCAAATAAGTTGCAAGAAAGCAGGGGACAAGTCAGCAAGAGAGGAGCTGACTGTGACAAAGGCTTGCTGTGGATTTTGTAAGGATGGTACTTGTGCTGTGTTCTGGAGAGAACTATATGCAGTACTGATAATGCCAAGGTTGCAGTGAGCTAGTTTGCATTTTTCGATCAGGCGAAGGTCTGATAGCTGGGCGCAGGAAGATTGTGACTTATTTACACGAGAGGATTATATGTCCTGGACCATGCAGAAAGGCAGATTTACATCTCAACTGCTTTCTCTTTGCTTTTCCTTGGTCCCACCAGCCTGACTCCTTTTCCCTAATTAAGACTTCACATTTGGCCGGGTGTGGTGGCTCACGCCTATAATCCCAGCACTTTGGGAGGCCGAGGCAGGTGGATCACGAGGTCGAGAGATCGAGACCATCTTGGTCAACATGGTGAAACCCCGTCTGTACTAAAAATACAGAAATTAGCTGGGCATGGTGGCGTGTGCCTGTAATCCCAGCTTCTCGGGAGGCTGAGGCATGAGAATTGCTTGAACCCAGGAGGCAGAGGTTGCAGTGAGCCGAGATTGTGCCATTGCACTCCAGCCTGGGTAACAACAGCGAAACTCTGTTTCAAAAAAAAAAAGACTCCACATTTAATAATATATTGTTGATTATAATATGGTGAG